TTTAGATATGTATGATGTAAGGTACCTTTCTGACAAGATATTGATACATTTATAACTGACATATTATAAATTTTTACAACAAAAATAAATCGTTTAAGCAAATAAATTGTTAAAGGRCCTTTATAAAACTGTTTTATTCTTCATCGATAATTATAAGATATTAATTCAATTATGCTACCATTAGTTAATAAATTATAAACAATTATATTATTTATTTTGATTTTAAAGTATTATTATGGTATACATATAGCAAAAAAATTAAAATTAAAAAAAATAGTATAACGGACGTTAACAGGATGATAATAAAATATGTATGTATATATCTTACTTGACGATATTGAACCCATCCTGATGTACCTATTAATAACTTCTGTGGCAATTAACTTTTCATTTGGTATGCATTTTGAGAAACATGGAGAAGAAAATTTTGCTGTAAAAATTATTTTGAGATAAGTAAAATAATAGATCATAATAATATTTTAAGAYGCAATCATTTACAATAAATACTTGAGATTCTTTTTTAAAACTAATGGGTATTTTAAATAAACAATATAATATTAAAACTAAAAAAACTTACAATTAGAATTTTTAGAAATGCTTTGTTTTAATTCTATATTTTCAATTTCTTCTTTTTCTTCATCAATATTATTTTTTGACAGAGTTATATTAACTGAAAGTAAATGTAATTATTTAATAAATTAAGAGTAAAATCATAGTTTTAATCATGACAATATAGATAGGTATGCCAGCWGCAATACAAGTTGCAGTCCTGTTTACATATCTTACCCTCCCTAGCCAGTCGTGGTTTGCCATATTAACCTAATTACCCGGTTAACATACAGCAACAAACAAACTAGCTAATAGACGGTGTGAGGWGTAGTTGCGAACACAATGCGTATTAAAAGGTTGCTGACATACCTATTTATTTTGTCATAGTTTTAATAAGAATTATTTACTTGAATTATCAACGCATGTTGTAGTATTTTCATTAGACTCATCCACGACAGTAGATTGATCTAAGAAGCAAATATTATATAATTAATGTAATAATTTAATTTTTTTATAAAATACCTATATGAATATTGATTTTTGATTTTTAATACAGCAACTTGTAAAAAAATATGATGTTCAATTCAAAAAAATAATAATTATA